CTTCCACCTCTGCAGCTTCACCATTGGGGCTCACTTTGCCCTAGGGTAGCCTAGCTCCTGCCTGGCCCTCTTCTCTGGCTCCCCAGCTCCTGCCTGGCTCCTTCTCTGGACCCCCAGCAAGAAACAAAAAAGAAGAGCTTGACTATAGAAAGATATTATGGTGATAGAGAGGTTCAAGGCATCAACTTGAGTGGACAATAGTGCCAAAACGGCTACATATGAAGCCTCAAAAAAAATGTAATTCCTGGGAGATCTTAAAAAGTATTTTAAAAAGCAAATTAGAGAAGGAGAAGAAAAATTGGGAAAAGAAAGTAATGCAGGAAAATCATGAAAAAAGAATCAATAGGCTAGGGAAAGATATACAAATATTTACTGAGGGAAACAAGTCCCTAAAAAACAGAATTGGCTAAATGGAAAAGGAAGTACAAAAGCTCACTAAAGAAAATAATTCCTTAAAAATCAGAATTGAGCATGTAGAAGCTAATGACTCCATGAGACATTAAAATATGATAAGGCAAAATCAAAAAAGTTAAAAAACAAAAAGATGTAAAACTTCTCATTGGAAAAACAATGACCTGAAAAACAGGTCCAGGAGAGATAATATAAGAATTAGAGGATTACCTGAAAGCCATGATTTAAAAAAAAGCCTGGACAACATTTTTCAAGAAATTATCAAGGAAAACCGCCCTAATGTACAAGAAACAAAGGGTAAAATAGAAATTGCAAGACAAAACACATGTTGTAAGAAATGATAATGGTGAGGGATGGAGAAGAACCTGGGAAGGCTTATATCAATTATGATAAGGAGAAGTGAGCAGAACCAGAAAACCTTACATATAAAAACAACATTGTAATGAAAAATAAGTCTGAAAGACTTAAGAACTTTGATGAATGCAATGACCAACCATGTCTACAGAGGATAAAAGATGGAATATGCTACCCATGTCCTGATAGAGATAAAGGACTCAGAGGACAGGATGAGACATGTAATTTTTTCTTTGATGTGGACAATGCAGGAACATTATCCCTCAGCATACATGTTTGTGAACTCCCTCCAATATTGGTAATTGTCATTTTCTTATCAGCTCTACCAATATGAAAATCTTTCTAATTATTAGTGATGCATACTGGTGGTTATAGATGGGGACCATTTTTTGTTGTTGTTCTGTTGTTGAAAACTTGGATTTCTTCCTTTGAAAACTGTCTGCTCCTACCATTTCACCAGAGGTCTGCTGGGCAATGGCCCTTTTTTATGCATCTGTGTCCATTCTTTAAATACTTGGAAATGAGACCTTTATTGCAGAAACTTGCTGCAAATTATTTCCCCCTTCAATTGCTTCCTTTTCACATTTTAGATACATGAGTTTCTTCATTTGATAAAGATCCTCTATTTTATTCTATATTTTCTTCTCCACCCCTTCTCTGGGCATGCCCTCATCCCCACTCTGTAATTACAAAATGAATCATCATTATGGTTCCTCTGATTTGTTTCAGGTGACCTTTCAAATCTCAGACATGTCTCCATCTGAAGCTAATCCTGGTCTACACTGTGAGATGTTGGTCTATACCGAATTTCTGTTGGACTGCTTGCCAGCTTTCCCTGCGTGTTATAGTGATTAGTAAATCCAATTCTAGCAGGTGAGGTCTTGGGATTTGTTGAACAGAGGGTTAGTGTACTAATATTCTTTTGTATATTACGCACATAATTTGTACAAGGTCTCTATTTTTTAGTAGCACAGGAGAGTTTTCGTGAATACCACTTTCTGCTATAGTCTCAGACGTGGTCCTGTTAGGTCTTCTTCCTGAAATACTGGAGAAGGCTTCAGAAAGAGATGTATGAATGGAATTTTGATGAGAACACAGATTTGGTGTTGGAAGGGACCACAGAAGTCATTGAGTTTAACCTCCCCATTTTAGAGGTGAATAAATGTAGGCAAAGAGAGGTTATTCCTCGCTCAGAGTTACACAGCTAGAGAGCACCTGAGATGAGATCTGAAGCCAAATCTTCCCAACTCTAAACCCTTCTCTGTCCATTACAACATACTGCTTTCACCTACACTTTTCTGAGTGTCAATCTGAATAAAAAGAAAGAAGGGACTAAACTATCCACACCTATGAGGCCACTGACATTGCTATGAGACTTATGATCCCAGGGGAAAAAATAATCATAGTGAGCTCATATTTACACCATGATGTATTGCTTGCAAAGCACTTGGCAAACATGATTTCTTTTGATCCTTTCACTGAACCTGGCAGGTAGGTGCTATTATTAACCCCATTCTAGAGATGGAAAAACTCAGGCAGGAATAGGTTAAGTGACTTCTCCCAGGGTCCCATAGCTAGTAAGTATCAGAGACTGAATTTGAAATCAGGTCTGGTGTATTCAGGGAAATCTCTGTATCTATTGTGCCACCCAGGAGCCTCAAAAAGTCATTACAAAATAACTGTCCAACAGATACCTAAATATTCATGCAGGACTTTTTGCGCCACCCAACATCATGAGACAGAATGAGCACCAATCAACTGAGGAATGATCAAAGAATGCCATAGAATATTTTAGGGGAATCATGGGAAACTTGAAGATTTTAGAGAAAAATTGAATGCATTTTCAGGGCTTTATGCACGATATGAAAGTTGTGATGTCTAATGAGGTCTGTGCTGCAGGGGGAGGCCTCCCTTTGTTAATTAGATACATAGGTTTTATCTCCAGCAACATTTCTGCAATGTACACACAAGTGTGAGATCCAGTTGAAGGTCTTTCCACAATTTTTTCTTTTATAAAGCTTATTTCCAGTGTGAATATTGTGGTGTCTAGTGACCTTCATCTTCTGGGGAAAGGCAGGACCTCACTGAGTACATTCATAAGTTTTCTCTCCACTGTGAATCCTTAATGGAAAAGAAGAGATGATCTCAGGCTGAAGGCCTCCTGACACTGATTCCATAAAGAACTTGTTTCCCAGATGAATTTTCTGATATTTGACAAGCGCTCTACTCCATTTGTATGCCCTTCCACCTTCATTACAGGGATATGATTTCCATCTCCTGTGAATCCTCTGATGGGAAATCAGGGATGACATTAGCCTGAATGATTTTCAATATTGATTATGTTAATGAGATTTGTCCTCTAGTCTGGATTCTTTGATGTTTAGTGAGGAAAGGGTTTACATTAAAAGCTTTGCCACATTCTCAACACCCATAAGGTTTCTCTCCAGTGTGGCTTCTCTGATGAAAAGTAAGATCAGAGTGATATCTGAAAGTCTTTTGACACTGATCACATTCGTGAGGTTTCTCCACAGTGTGGATTCTCTGATGTTCAGCAAGACTGGAGCTCCATCTGAAAGCCTTTCCACATTGATCACATGCATAAGGTTTCTCTCCAGTGTGGATTCTCTGATGTGTAGCAAGACTGGAGCTGTAACTGAAAGCCTTTCCACATTGATTACATCCATAAGGCTTCTCTCCAGTGTGGATTCTCTGATGTGTAGCAAGACTGGAGCTGCAACTGAAAGCCTTTCCACATTGATTACATCCATAAGGCTTCTCTCCAGTGTGGATTCTCTGATGTTTAGCAAGACTGGAGCTGCAACTGAAAGCCTTTCCACATTGATCACATTCATAAGGCTTCTCTCCAGTGTGACTTCTGTGGTGGTCAGCAAGACTGGAGCTGCATCTGAAAGCCTTTCCACATTGATTACATTCATAAGGCTTCTCTCCAGTGTGGCTTCTCTTATGTACAACAAGATTAGATCTGCAACTGAAAGCCTTTCCACATTGATTACATTCATAAGGTTTCTCTCCAGTGTGGACTCTCTGATGTACAACAAGATTAGAGTTTCTTCTAAAAGCCTTTCCACATTGAGCACATTTATAAGGCTTTCCACATTGAGCACATGTATAAGGCTTCTCTCCAGTGTGGATTCTCTGATGTTTAGCAAGACTGGAGCTGCAACTGAAAGCCTTTCCACATTGATTACATTCATAATGTTTTTGTCTTACGTGGATTCTCCTATGTACAACAAGAATAGATCTGCAACTGAAAGCCTTTCCACATTGATTACATTCATAAGGCTTCTCTCCAGTGTGGATTCTCTTATGTGCAACAAGAATAGATCTGCGACTGAAAGCCTTTCCACATTGATTACATTCATAAGGCTTCTCTCCAGTGTGGATTCTCTTATGTTTAGCAAGACTGGAGAGGTATCTGAATGCCTTTCCACACTGATTACATTCATAAGGCTTCTCTCCAGTGTGGATTCTCTGATGTTTAACTAGATGGCACCTCCTTGTGAAAGCCTTTCCACATTGATCACATTCATAAGGTTTCTCTCCAGTGTGGATTCTCTTATGTACAACAAGTTTAGATCTGCCACTAAAAGCCTTTCCACATTGTTCACATTCATAAGGTTTCTCTCCAGTGTGGTTTCTCTTATGTACAACAAGATTAGATCTGCAACTGAAAGCCTTTCCACATTGATTACATTCATAAGGCTTCTCTCCAGTGTGAATTCTCTGATGTAGACTAAGATAGCTTTTGCACCTGAAAGCCCTTCCACATCGATTACATTCATAAGGTTTCTCACCAGTGTGGATTCTCTGATGTTTAGCTAGACGGGAGCTCTGTGTGAAAGTCTTTCCACATTGATCACATTCATAAGGTTTCCTGTCACTATGAATTCTCTGACACATAATGAAGGAGGAGTGTTCACCAAAAGCTTTGCCACATTCATGACACTCATGTGGTTTCTCTCGAGTATGAATTTCTTGATGGCAAATAAGGGATGACTGTTGACTCAAGTCTTTCCCACAATGATGACAATCATAAGGTTTCTCTCCTATGTGGATTCTCTCAAATACAGCACAGATTTGTCTCCCAGTGAAGTCACAGGCACCATCCTTCGTGGGGTTTTCCTTTTGAGTTTCTTTCATAGAAATGCTTAGCTTTGCAGTGGTCTCTTTCATTTGAGGTCTAATCTCTCCTTCTGCAAGAAACAAACAATAAAACATGTATAGAGAGACACATGTACACACATATCCTACTTCTCCAGGCTAACAGAAAACTCTTTAAAGTTCAATGGACAGAACCAATCATTTGAAAATGCCATTATCTCCTTATGTTTCATTTCCTCTTTCTGGTGGTTCCTCCTATTGGATCTAATTCTTACCTACAACATCACTAATGTGAAAATATGTGTAATAGGAATGTAAATGTAGAGCATATATCACATTGTGTGCCGTCTTGGGGAGGAAGGTGGGGAGGGAAGGGGAGAAAACTTTAAAACTCAAAAGCTTATGGAAGTGATTGTTGATAATTGAAAATAAATTAATTAAAAAAAATTTTTTAAACGCCATTATCTCACATCTTACAAAGAGCTTCACACACAACCACATTGGATCCTCACAAACACCTGTGACACTGGCAGACCCAGCATTCTTACTTCATTCTCAACTCAGGCCATGAGCTCAGAATGGCTGAGTGACCTGCCCAACATCCCTGCAGCTGAGGCTAGAACTCCAACCCTGCCAGGGGATATGTGCTGTCCATCCACTAGACAGCCCTTCTCCATTGCACTTACTTTTGTTTTGTCTTTTTTTAAGAAACAATATTTATTTTTGCAAATTGACCGCTTCTGTCGCTCTCTTTGGATCTTCCTATTCCCTGAGACACAACAGTATTCAAATGAGGCCAATTCATAACCCTCAAAGGGGCTTTAAATGTTCAAGTGAAAAGAAGAATCAATCAACATGGCAAACTTCACTGTCACCTTATCTTAAGAAAGTGCCACAGCCACAGCCAACCTTGAGCAACCCGCCCCCTGATCAGTCAGCAGCCATCCACAGTGGGCCGCCAGTAGCAGGAGGAAGCATCGCTGAGGGCTCAGAGGATAGATAAAATTAAAATATGTACATTTCACCACAAATAACATTGTACTGCACAGGTAACAGACAACAGTGTATTGTAAACCTAACCTTTATATGCACTGAGAAACCAAAAGTGCAGGTGACTCACATGACTGCAGTATTCACTTGACTGTGGTGCTCTGGAACAGAACCCACAATGTCTCTGAGTCGGGCCTGAAATTCTTCTCATTCTTGTTTTGACTTTGACTCTTTCCTCCCCAATTCAACTCTCCTCCTTAAACCATGATTAGCCTCACTCCTTGAGTTCGCTCATATCCCATTGAACTAGATGTCTCTCCACTCCCAAACACTCTCCTTTCCCTGGATCAGCTAAGAGCAAGGCTTCTTCTCAACCATCTCCATCTTTGTAGGCTACGTTGGCAGCTCCTTGACAGCAGGGACTGGCTTTCCCCTTTCTAAAGCTTAGCGAGGTGCCTAGAAAACTGGAGGTGCTTCATCCATGCTTAGTGACTGATAGCAGGGCCCAGGGCTGACACCAAGCCCCAGGCTCTACCACAAGCCCTGTATTCTGGTCTCTGTCTAAGTTGACCAATGCAGGTTCTGGCCTCAGCCCTGTTATTTCCTCTATTGAGAGGCCTTTGTCTAGTTCTAACCATGGAACCTGACCACAACCATAGGGAAGACCACAAACAGTTCTTTCTAGGCTCCTGAAACATCTCATACTATGGGACACCTGGGAATTTCTACCTAACTTTTCCCCAAACTGAGAGTGGCTGTCAACTCAATGAATCTGGCCAACAATTATCCAAGAATAGGCAAAGATCGAGCCTCAGAGATCAGGGGAGGGACGAAGGTTGATGGTTTATGTAAAGCATAGCCTTGGAGCAATTCTAAGTAAGGCCCCAGCCTTTGCCACTACTGAGATGCTGCGGAATGGAGAGGGAGAAAATCATAAAACCAGGCTGCCTGGGTCCACTACACATTAAGCCTACATAATCTCAGTATGGTTCTCACTGTGGTAAGGCCATCCTAAGATATCTCCCTAAATGACTCCCTTGGGGCAGCTAGGTGGTACAGTGGATAGAGAACTGGTCAGGAAGACAAGAGTTCAAATACAGCCTCAGACACTTACTAGCTGTGTGGCCCTAGGCACGTCACTTAGGCCTGTTGGCCTCAGTTTCCTCATCTGTCAAATGAGCCTGAAAAGCAAATGGCAAACACTCAAGTCTTTGCCAAAAAAAAGCCTAAATGGGGTCATGAAGAGTCAGAAGCTCTTGAAATGACTGAACAACAACATAATTGACTCCTTATTTCATTCACCACAGCAGCTTTTCCAATTCTTTTCATCCTTTCTCAACTGTCCCTTATTGCCTGCTCCCACTCTCCACCCCCATTCAACTTAGCAGACAAATGTGCCTCATTTTCACAGGAAAATTGGATATTTATCAAGAGCTATCTTATCATGCTCAT